GGGGGGGAGCCCGGAAAGTCCCTGGGCGCCTGCCAGGAACACTCAGCTCATAATAACCTCGCGGAAAACACCGCGGCCTCGGCCTCCAGAAACCCCGGCCTTGCGCAATCCCCCGCGGGCCGCGCCTCCCTGGGCCCCACGCAGTGCACTCACCAGCCCCGGGGGGGTTTTCCCTCTTTTCCCCGCAGGTTCCTGCACTTGGCCATCATCCATGAAGAGAAGGCACTGACCATGGAAGTAGTCCGCCAAGTAAAGGGAGACCTGGCCTTCCTCAACTTCCAGAACAACCTGCAGCAGGTACGCTGCTTTTCTGGCCTCGGCCCCCGTGCCTCTCTCACCCCGTGACGAAGCTCAGTCTAGCACAGATATTCCCAATGATTTCTAAATTAGCAGCCCCTGGGCGTTATTGGCCCCGACCTTTTACACCTGAATCAGCCAACATCCTAGAGAGGAAAGAAAGTTCCCTTGATTTGGTGAGGCCTTGATGAAGCCCCACCTGGGGCCTCTGGCGCCTGTCTGGGAGGAACAGCACTCACAACCTGGAGATCAAGGGAACACAGACTGTGGGTTTGATCTATGGCTTATCCTTTCTGTCCATCTTCTGTTTGTAGACTCCACTCCACTTGGCTGTAATCACCAACCAGCCAGAAATTGCTGAGGTACTTCTGGAAGCTGGCTGTGATCCTGAGCTCCGAGACTTTCGAGGAAATACCCCCCTACACCTTGCCTGTGAGCAGGGCTGCCTGGCCAGTGTGGGCGTCCTGACTCAGACCCGCCAGACCCAGCACCTCCACTCCATTCTGCAGGCCACCAACTACAATGGTACGTCTGCCTGCCCCGCCCGTCAGAGGGCAGGTGACCTGAAGTGAAGAAGGGGGAAGTGGGCCACCTTAAGGAGTCCAGGGAAGGCTTAAACTCTCTGCATGTGACAGATTAAAAAAAAAATCTGCCTAAAGGCCTCTGCTGCCTTACTAAGGTCGATTGAGAACCCAGATTCTGGGTTTTTCGAATTCAGAAGAATTTGTCCCTTAAAAGAATAGGTGAGGGTGGAGGGTGTCGCTCAGTAGTAGAGTACATGCTTAGCATACAGAGGGTCCTGGGTTCAATCCCCAGCACTTCCATTAAAAAATACATATAAATAAATAAACCTAATTACCTCCCCCCATTTAAAAAAAGAAAAAAATAGGTGAGAGGTTCTGCTTGAAAAGTGAGGATCAAAACAAGTGGTTATAGTTTCTTACTTTTGGTCCTCTAGGCCACACGTGTCTGCACTTAGCCTCTATCCATGGCTACCTGGGCATCGTGGAGCTGTTGGTGTCCTTGGGTGCTGATGTCAATGCTCAGGTGAGTGCCTCATGCCTGCCTTCGGATGGAGCGCACCAGGCTCCGAGCCCTCTGCAATCCGAACTCAGCGTGCTTTTGTGGCCAGCAGACATCTCAAACTCAATTGTAAGCATCTCAAATTCCTTTTGTTTCAGGAGCCCTGTAACGGCCGAACCGCCCTCCATCTCGCAGTGGACCTGCAGAATCCAGACCTGGTGTCGCTCTTGTTGAAGTGTGGAGCTGATGTCAACAGAGTCACCTACCAGGGCTACTCCCCATACCAGCTCACCTGGGGCCGCCCAAGCACCCGGATACAGCAGCAGCTGGGCCAGCTGACGCTAGAGAACCTTCAGATGCTGCCAGAGAGCGAGGATGAGGAGAGCTATGACACAGAGTCAGAGTTCACAGAGGACGAGGTGAGTCCCAGTTAACTTGTTCTTCGCTCTGCGGCTGTTCTCCCTCACTCTCTCAGGCCCCTACGCTCCTCCTTATCCCGGGGGTCTCCTCTTATAGCGAGGCTCTCAAACTCCAGTGTGTGTAAGCAGTATCCCAAGAGTATGTCTTTGGCTCTTTTGGAAGGAGAGGATCCTTAAAGGAAAACTCTCTCAGCCCAAGAAGTTCATTTATATTCTGGTTATAGACAATGCAGGCCAAGAATACTTGAGTTCTTTCCAGTAGCAGCTCTCACCATCATCCCAGAACCATTGGCAAGGTTTGCAAGTTTGACGTGCCTTTTTTTCTCTTTTTAGCTGCCCTATGATGACTGTGTGCTTGGAGGCCAGCGCCTGACGTTATGAGCTTTGGAAACTGTCTAAAAGAACATGGACTTGTATATTTGTACAAAAAGAGAGGTTTATTTTTCTAAAAAAAGAAAAAGAAAAAGAAAAAAAGAGGGGGTGCACTTATAACCACACTTTACACTGCTGGCCTGAAACATTTTACTGTGGTGGATTAGCCTTCATTTTGTTACTTTTGTGAACTTTGGAAGGGGGCCAAGAAGGATCATTGGAATTCAGAGAAAACTTCTTTTAAAACATCACCTTTGTGGGGTTTTTGGGGAAGGTTATCCAAAATTTGATGAAAGGACTACATTAATTTATTGTACATCTTGGTTGAACGACCACGGATTTAGTGGCTGAGCCCAGTTGTATCCAGTGACACGTAAGGATCAGGTGTGATGTTAAACCCATCAGTGGGGTGGGGTTAAAAGTCGCTACCTGTCCAGGTGTGCTCCCCTCCTGTAAATAGTGTACATGGTGTATTTTGTTGTTAATTATTTTGGTACTTCCAAGATGTATATTTATTAAACAGATTTTTACAAACAGAATCCTACTGATCATTTTCTTCGGGCTGCTGTGGGACTCCTACCCTGAGAGTCATTTGATCCCCAGGTGGAAGTGGAGGTGGAGAGTCGTGTGGGGGCACTTACCACAGCCAGCCACGGAGCCCTTTCAGAGAGCAGCTTCTCACAGTCTACACCAACCTCCCCGCCCGACTTTGCAGGCAGCCCCGGAGCCCGGTGTGTAGGAGGGGAGGCTGCTGCAAGCTGATGGGAAACACCAGTTCCAGGCTTGGGGTGGCAGCAAGTTGCCTGGCCTCCAGCTGGAAGGCTCTTCGTTGTTCTTTGCTTTCATCTTCTTGGTTTAAAACTATTCCAGGACCTTACTTCCACTTTAGGAAAGGATTTTAGCCAAGAGGAGCCTGCTGATTTCACATTTTATAGAGGGGAGAGATCTCACCTATGATACTGGAGGTTCCTGAGGACCTGGGCTCAGGAACAGGACTGCGCTAACATGAGTTAGCAGGTGCCCACCTTGGAGTCTTTGTTTCCTCATTTACAAACTGGGCCTTCTGAAGATTACACAAGACAATCCACGTAAAAAGCACAGCAGTGCCAGGCACAGGGCGAAAGAGAAACACAAGCGTTGCACAACATCCTGCAGTTCACACGGGAAGGAACAAGTCCAGAGAGAATGTCCTGTTCAGGGTCACCTTGCAGGACAGGCAGGTTAACCTTCAAGTGGTTAACGTCTTTTAAATGCCAACCACCTCTACATCAGCCTGTTTTGTTAGCAGCTGCAGTATAAAAATAAGAAAGTTTGGAAAAGTTTTTCATCAGCTCAGTCAAATTCTACTGAATGATTCTACAGAAGCAGTTGATTTCACAAGAAATCAGTAACTTGTCAAGTTTGGGTTTAGATGCTTTCAAAGTTTTTATCCCTAAAAGACATCGTTAGAAAGAGGAGTAAAGTTCATGGCATCTATGAAATGCAGAAGGGAGTATCAATACAACCATGTCCTTTGGCTTGCCCCTGAGAAAACATTACCCTTGCATTATGTTATCCCTTTCCTGACCCACAAATGATGTCAAAGTCAGGTGAATATGATCACCTCCCTCTCAGATCAAAAAGGAGCCAGTCCTTAGTGGGTCTTTCATAAAGAGTATCACTGTAGGCTCTACTGTCCAGTCAAAGCCAGCTCTGTCCTCCCGCAGCCTCATTCGTCTGGATCTGAGCACTGCGGTGGCCCCTCTACCAGTTTTGTCTTCTCTCAAGGTGCTCCAGGCCCATGACTGAAATTTCTTGTCCATCCCAGAGCACCTGAAGGCAGGTGTTCCACCATATAACACAAATGCCAGTTAGGTTCAGCTCTCTACGCTGATACTAGAAAAGGTAAGACGCATGAGGGGAGGGATATCCGCCTCAGATCCCAAAAACAAAGGTTGGAAACTTGGCTCCCAATTTTGGAATGATGTCTCTCTTTCCCCCTGTAATGGTGTTAAATGACAAGGTACCCATCACTCTCCAGTTCTGTGCTACAGGGTTGGTCAAACGGGACAAAGGGATGTGGCCCACTCTTCCTCAGCCTCCTTGGGGACCGGCTTTTGTGTAAAGGCATCACCTTCCATGCTCACAGCACAGCGGGGACCCTTCTGACTCATTTGGGACCAGCCTCCCACCTTTCCTGGCTTGAGATTTTCTGCTCTTCTGGACACCAACCCTCAGGGTGGATTCCATCGTTGGCGTACATCTAGACTTAACTGGCCCTGGATTCTTCATCTCTGGATCTTCTTCCTGTTTCTCCATCTCTTATCTTTTCTTTTTATCTTAAACCTACTTTCTTTCACGCCATTGGTTGGGTGGCTGGAGCCTAAAGCAAAATGTTAGAACTGACACATTCTAATCTATAGAAAGTCTTCCTCAAATTTCTAAGCAAATGAGAACCAAAGTTTTCAAAGAAAACAGTTCAGCAGACCGAGAGTCTCTCATGCACTGTGATTTTCTCCAAGAAGCTGAAGATCCTGTCAGGACAGGTAGGAGTAAGGGAGCCTTGGGGAAGACGCAGTGACATGAGGAGGAAATAAAAGTTACATCAGCAACTTCTTGAATTCAGTTCCTTGATTCCTTCTGTCTGCCTCATCCTCAGGATAAATTTCCTTCACAGGTACGTGTGCCAAGTTGCTTCCAGAAGGAAGGGTTTTTCTTTAAAGAGGGAAAAAACTCCCGTCTGAGCAATTTGGAGACCTTCACATGGGGCCTGGAAATGCCGAGGCTGGGTTCTTGAGGGTATTTGCATTGAAACTTCAGTTGCTACTGGAAGTGATTAAGTGGTGACAGTTAGAACTGAGTCAGTGAACCGGGTTCTTCCTTCGCCCCCCTTCCTCCCGATTTTCATCAGCTTGCCCGAGGTGTAGCTGAAGTTTCATTTGGCAAGAAAAGTCCGAGTGGAACTCCGGTCAGAAACATACCCAAGAAGCATTCCCTGACCTCTGGGGCCTGGACAAGAATATCCCAGGTTGTTTCCCCAGTGGAGGGAGCATTACAGAAACTGAGACTGGGTCTCCTGTGTGTGTTTCCCTCCTGGAGGAGTGCTCTCAGTCCCATTCATTCTATCACATGGTGAAGCACCACCATCCTCTAGGGGCTAGAAACACAAATAGGAACCAGTCATGGGCTCTGCCTCAAAGAGCTCCTTGCTCAGGTGGAGAGGAAGACAAGCTGGTAGAAGACAGGATGGTAAGATGAAGCAGGGAACTTGATAGGCGCTCAAATCAGAGGCCCCAGGGAGGAATGCAGTGGGAGGGGGCGATTAAGAGATGACACACTCATTAGCTATTTGTCCCCCAGCCAGTGCTCTCCGTTCTCTTATCCCATGTCCTAAGTGACCAGTGGTCACTTTTTGACAAGCAACAGGAAACAAGGCTGTGCTCAGAACAAAACTAACTTCTGGGCTGGATTAAATTGACCATCCGCTGTTCATTTCTGCACCTGTGTGTGCTCCAAGAGTCCAGAGCTAAGCCTGAAAGCAACTGGCCACTAGTCTGAATTAATGACAAATGATGTGCATGCCTTAGTCCAGAGCTCCTCAAACTCAGTGTGCACTTCAATGTGCACTCACATGGCCTGGAGATCTTGTTGAAATGCAGGTTCTGATTCAGTTAGTCTGGGGCTGGCCTGACATTTGCATTTCTGACAAGTTCCCGGACAAGGTCTGTGCTGCTGGCCCCAGGGGCCACACTCTGAAGAGCATTTTGATTGAAAGGTTACGTTGGTTATTGGTTCTCTGCCACCCTCCTCGGTACCACGACAAACTGGACATGCACTTCTGCAGCCACTCCTGAGGATGACCCAGCATGAGGCAACATGAGTCTTTTGAAAGGCAGGGCTGGGTCCTGAGGACTGATATTAAAATAGGGGCCAAGGCCAAGAAACCTACCAACGAGCCAGGTAAACGTAATAAGGAAAGCAGCTGACGCAACGCAACGCAACGCAAGGCCAAAGGCTTAATCACCTGAGGTCCAAGAAAAGAACAAAAGTCATGAAGAAAAAGCATTTGAAGGATGATTCACTCATTAAGGAGAAGAAAAGCTGGTTTTAAAATAAGCTTATTTGTCCCTTTGTATGGGGCTGCTCTGGCATGTTGGAGGCGCCCTGACCAGGCCACCACCGGGAAGGAAGGAAGAGGGGTCGGCCTCCCAGCGACTAAGGTATTCTTATCAGAATATGAGAAGCCTTAACAAGCACTGACTAAAACGCATCAGGGAAAACCTTCAATAAAGAATAACTTCCCCTAAATATTGCCAGCATTTCATGTTTCCTCATTTTAGCAATTTATGGAGTATGGCCTATATGGAAAACAGTCACCTGTTACAAAGGGAAATTTTTGAAAAGCTGTGAAGTTGCCTTATTTTCCTTTTGTGCAGTATTTGATTCAAATTTTTAAAACTGATCTATGATACCACATAACGTGGGATAAAATCATAGAGTAAATTCAGGTTTTAATTATTAAACAGGTACATAGTGCTTACTATGTGCCAGGCTTTATCCTAAGTGGTTTACAAATATTAACCCCTCGGATCCTGAAATGACCCTGTGAGGTAGGTACTATTGTTATTTTCATGTTTTTTGTAAGGAAGCTGAGGCACAGCCAAGTGAAGACACTCAGCCCGCGTCACACAGTCCGTAAATGGCGGCTCCAGGCTCACGTTCCCAACCTGTGGTGCAAAGCAGCTTCCAACGTGCGCAGCAATTCCCGCTAACTAAAATGTCTTCAGGTCATCAATTCTGAATCTGTTTCTTCCACGTTTGTTAGTGATATCCTTCCAAAAATGGATAAATATTACTGGGGATGGTATGATTTTCTGATGTGTTGCGTTAATGGAAGACTGTCTCGCATAAACTACATACCACAGAGCACGCAAGGTGCATGGGACTCAGGCAGATCTGGACCCAAATCCTAATTCATCTCCTCTGGATGTTTAGTGTCAAGTTTCATACGGTTCTAAGTAAAAGGAAGTGAGGCATGTCTCTCCTTCCAGGAGTTTCCAGTTGTGTGGTCTATGTTTGCTTCTGATTGAGGCTAGGTCTCCCCAAAGTCACCACATGAAACATTTTGGTCAGACTTTTTACAACGTTGCAGTATTTTAATATTCATCCCCGGAGAAGCCCAAAACAAACAAGCACATGCAACTTGTAAGGATTAATGAAAGAGTTTCTTTCAGGTGAAATGTTCTAGTGTTGATTCAGCTTTAAGTTGGTTTTTCAAGTTCTCCTTTGGATGCCTTCCCATCCTGATGCTTGGGAGGCAACTCCCCAGGGCAAGACTTTGCCCTGTGGCCCGCCGCACATGGCCTAGCCAAGAGGGTAGCCTGGGCTCCAAAAATCTTTTTTGTGTATTTGCACTTAACTCAGTTGTTCTCTTCCACAAAACACAGAGTAAACCTCTAGTCTGAAGGCAAGGTCTAAACCATAGACATGTAAATATCGTGTAATTTACAAGGCAAATGGAGTAGAGCGCTTTCACCTCTTTGAGGTTAGAACTG